TTACGAACAATTAGTTGGGTCCCTATTGTCAACAACCTGATAATGATGAAAATGAAGCTGAAATGTCTAATATATCAGATGAAAATATAACAAACAAGATTACTTTTAAAGAACTGAGCGAACAAGGTGTAACAAGTGAACAACTTCTTAATTGGTCAGCACCCATAAATCTTGTTGAACGGTATAAAATGACTGATCAAAGTTCAGAATCATTCTGTAACTGTTCATCGTTATGGTTTTTTTGTCTTGACTGGCGGCAACTATGTAATGGCAAAATTGATTGTAAGAATGGTGAAGACGAACAATAGTGTGAAATATTAGAGACAATAACATATGCTGATAATCAATATCGATGTCATTATGGTAGTCAATGTATTCCACTGATATTTGCACATGACAGCCATTTAAAAGTACTGACTGTCTTGATGGCAGTGAAGAAACAGAAAGCAGTGCTATCTATCTGAGTTGGGCAAATAGTATTTGTGATTTAATAATCACATTTCGATGTGAACAGCGTATTAATCGATATTCTCATTCTTTTCCATGTGATGCCAGCCAATTTATATCAAAAGCTGACTTACCACTTAATGCAAACGGTTGTTCGAACAAGCAAAATAGAGAAGTGACTTTAACCATGTTTACTTCGTTTGATCACATTAAAGATATTAAATGCCAATAATCATTTCGTTGTTCATTACATTTCAATCGAAGTTATAATAAGTTATAATAATTGTATATTAGTTTAACTACTGAGAAAATTTGAGTATTCTTTTTGTTTTTGAAACACTAATGTGTAATGGCTAAACCTTTGAAATCTTAGTTGTCATCTCTTTGTTTTCGGTTGGTAAAATAAATTAGCCTGGTTTTCGAAAGCTTAGTTCCAGCGTGAGAGTTTTTAATAGTAATTTACAAAACAAGACGAGTTTTTTTTAGAAGCCTACACTAATATTTGCTGCACAGCACATGATTTTGAGTTCCTCATAAATTTATCAACTTGTCTCAACGCTTAATGTTAATGTAAAAGTTTTTCGAAAGGGACAATATTTTTGCTCATTTCTAACTGTGAAAAAAAACCTTATATTATTTACATCCAACTTCAATTGCTTTGAAACGTTATTGAATTAGATTGCATTTTACACCGATATTTGTAAATATCCCTTTATTTCTCAGACGTCTTCATATTGCCACTCTGTTTCAGTTTGGAAAATACACGATTTTCTTACTTCTCTGAAGAACTAGTGCATTAAGCATAGTAGAAAATGGACAGTTAAATTTTTGTATTGAAAAATTCATTGCTAGACAAAAGTATACCTAGAGAGATACAACTAGGAAGTCATATAAGATCGGCTTGTGCTGCTTTAGCAAACAAAAGAGCATAGTTGAGTAATGAAATCATACATAGAATTGAATTTGAACAATATCTTATGGAACTCAGACACCCTGATAATCCATCATAGATCATGATTGACGTTGTTGATATAAAATTATAGACCATATAACAATAACATCTCGTTCTAATATGTAAACTACTTCGCTATTGCATTTTTGGAGAATTAGGTAAAAAGATGATGATGAAATGTGTCTCAAAATAGACAGAATACAGTACTTCCTATTTTAATTAGCGAAAGTAACTACATCGTGTTTCGCATTTCAATCCCACAGGAATTGCACTTACAGCTTTTGTATATGAATCAAGCTAAGTGAAAACAAACGTGTTCAATGCATCTATTTGACGCCTTATACTCTCTCTGTTCATTAGAGTCGATGTCCCTAATAACGACACTAAAAATTTATCTTATCTTGTTTGGCTCGGTGCACGACTATTTTAAACTCGATTGAAAATATTTTTACATACNTATTGTCTAAAGGATCTTAGAAGAGATTTCTGTTTTTGGTTTTGAAATTTCAGTTTTACTTTCGAACAAATATTACTTTGCTTTCCTTTGTTGAAATCTTAACAAAAAATACGGAGTTTTAGATGTGTTCGTAGAGAAAGTGAAGCGAAAAACAGCGGTATTTTGGAAGTATATTGACATGTTTCAACAGGGATCTTATAGTTATATATATTAGCATTTCATCTTTTCATTGAAAATTCGATCAGCTTTTAGAAAGTGATCCTATGAACATTCAACAAGTTTGAATCAAATAATAGCTTTTTAATGGTCACTCATTATGCTTAAAATGAGGTATAAATGAAAGTTCATTTAAATCTAATGTTCCTTACTATTCTTGACATTAACAACCGCTGGGTTAGTAAATTTTACTTTAAAATAATTTTGAAAAATCTATCGATTCATAATGAATTTAATAGAAAAAATGACTATTTTTATTTGTTTTAATAATCACAACAATAAAAAAAAGTAAACAAAATATCTATAATAAGATTCTCCGTAACAAATATGAATAAAACGTTCTCTATTGAACAAATTACAGAAAAAGTTTTTCAGCATTATAAGATTCATATTAAAAAATATCCATTGCTTACGAGAAAATAAATTGTTCTATTTTCTCATCATAGCGCGTCTATTGACAAAAAAAGTGAAAAAATGTGTTTGAAGAATTAACTATCGTTCATTTTCGTTTCAAGGCGCATATAATGAAAAATAAACAAAGTACCTGAAATGAGACGCTTCCGAGGAAGACACAAATGATTGGAAGACGTTGCTGTCTGTTTCTCCTTGACAAAAAGCTAAATTAGTGCATGCGAGGCGATGTGACCCACCGGTGGGTCACAGTATAGAATCGCTCAAAAAGTTTCTTTACCGCTGAAAAAATGAATACCTCTAGCATATTGTGACTAAAGAGGCTGTTCTCTTTGTTACGGATAAAGAAATGTTTATAACTCATATTCATAAAAAAAGAATGTTGATAAAAGGTATGTTGAAGTATTCACTATTGCCTGCAAAAAAGAAATAGAACCTTTCAGTTTTTAAAGAAACAATATTCATAACGCTGCGAATCTGTTAACTTGTTTATTATTCGATAGACACCGTTCGAATTATTATTTTTTTATTATCTGATACATCTTAATTTTCAATAACGACCTAGTTTTGTTGTGCATGGTTGAGAGTCTTGGAATGCACTAAATACAATGTAAATGAGAATAAATATCTGAAGAATATATATAGAATATCAATGCCTACTTTATTATGTATGGTTTATCAAGGCTTTTGTTAAAAGTATCAACGCAATAGAAAATATAAACAAGTATTTATTACTTCTAATTGATATGGACTGAAAAAGAACTGGTGCTTGTTATAACGGATAACCATACATCAACAATAATCAAATGATGTATGACATGATATGGTGTATGAAACAGAGCTGAGCAAATACAAGTACGTAGTCGAAAGGTCGGTATTTGTACTCGAGAAAATTCGTATGTACTTAGCTCTGATATGAAAAACATACATTTTTTTGTACGATTGATCTTGCTGTTTGTTATTTAATAATATTTCGAATAAATGACTTCTGTTTGGTATCGAGAATAAAGCTTAAATAATTGTTTTGCATTGAATAGTGATTCTTGGATGATTAATATTAAATTAGTAAATCGAGTAAACGAATTCAATATGTAATAAGTTAATGTTGGTTTTTATGTAAGTCAACGTTTCCAAATCGCGCCAAATAGAATCATTTGAATTTGGATTGTTTCCAACAAAACAATTCTATTGCAGTATATTTCAAAGAGTCTACTCAATATTTTATACTTCTTATCTGTTCATTATTCTCAATGCTTAATGATTTCTTGGGATTATAACAAAAAAGAATTGTTCAGAAATTTGAAATAAAGAAAGCTCACTTTCAATAATTACCATTATTTTTATACTGATAAAATACTGTTAGAAGTTTTTATTTAAATGCAGTTTTATATCCGATTTCTTTTATTCATTTTCTCAAAATACATTGCATACAGTATTCATGATCAAAATTAAGAAAAATATTCCTAAATCATTTTATAAGTCAATTTGAATGGAAAAAAATTTTGATTGAATTTATTGGGCACAAGAATAATAACTAAACTAATGTTCACTCAAATTCGTTGGGTAAAATAAATGCAGAATGACTGTAGTGACTCGACAAGTGAGTGAATCATTACCATTTATATGAATTCTATTATTCAATGTTGTTCTTATCTTTTTACTAACTAAATCTCTGTAAATTATTTTATATGAATAATAGCCTAGTACAATGATATTTCAATACACTTTCGAACATTCAGAAAAGAGTTTTTTGCTAAATTGCTTTTAGTTTCCTGATCTATTTCAGGAGGATACGTTCGCTCTGAAAAATAGCTGACGTATTGCTCATGCCAAGATCTATCGTGCATTTATAATGCATATTTATAAAAAGCTTCAGGTCATAGCTTGAAACGATTCTACAATACTTTATCTTTGTATTTGTCTAGCAGGTATTCCATTGTGTTTCATCGCATAGTACGGTGACACTAAAGTCGGTATTCCTCACGATCGAAAGGTATGACATCTCCTGATATGATATATTATCAGACGATGGAGCATATTTTGATAGTGGAGAATATCACCTTTAATGTTACTACATATTCACTATCGAGTACCTGCTATATGAATACCTTTATAGGTAATATAAATAGAAAAATATCTTCATTTTGATCAATTACAGTATATTTAGATTTAGTCATTTCAAGTAAAGATTTGAGGAAACAAACCAAATGAATTTGTGAGTTTTTCTTCTGTTACTCATTAAAATCGTTTAAGATTTTTGTTTTTATGAACGGATTCATTGATATTAAATTTGAATTGATATCTACATGTGCTGCCTCTCCTAGTGTACGATTTGTCAATGTATACAACCAGTCTTGAATATTTACGGACATTGGGTTTTTTTTCTTTTCCTGTCATGGAAAATGTGACTAAAATAAAAAAAGAACCTTCAAGCTACTTTTTTTTTTGTTATTTGAGTTTTCTAAACTTCAATAAAACATAAAATATTGAAACTTTAGAAATTCTTATTGACGAATTATGTCATCCACATCATCTAATCGTCCACGTTACAGTCCAAAATACACAGAAATTTGTATTGGCAATATTAGTAATCATACAGAACCCAGTATTCTACTGTAAGTTTAGATCCTAAATCAATGAAATCTAATGACTATTTTCTATAGAAAGTATTTTGAACAATTTGGTAGTATAGTACAATACAATTTTACTTCACCAACAGGCGGTTATGTTTTTATAACATATAAAGATGCATCCATGGTTGATGCGTGTATGAAATCCAGACCACATCATCTTGATAGTCGACACTTGTAACAAAAAAAAAGAAATCATTATATATATATATGTGTATGTGTATAAATATAATTTCTATTGATTTCTTTAGATATGTTAAACGTGCTTTACCACTTGATGATGAACATCCACGTGAACGTTTTGAAACTACACGTGATCTTATGATTATAATTGATTTTGATAATAAAAATTGCAATGAGAAAGACTTTTTAAATCAACTTCGTGAATATTTTTCTTCATATGGAACATTATATGCTTGTAAATATTGTCATGAAACATATTTTAATTATATTCTCGTTGAATTTGCAGATAAAGGTAAGAAAAAGATATACAAAGAAAAATTGAAAACAAAAAACAAAGAATAATTGAAAATTTATTTTTAGATCAAGTTGATCGAATTATTCTTGATAAACCACATTATTATTATGAACATCAACTTAATGTTATGAAACGTATACCATCGAATATTGAAATAATGAATACAAAATATTCATTAAATAAACAGCAATCATCTATGGTAATAAAAGATGCAATTGATGATGATAATTATGATTATATAAGATCTCGAAATAATTTCAATAAAAATGATTCTATAGCAAAAGAACAAATTAGTGAAATTGATCTAGAAAATGAAGTATATCGTCTTCAAAATATTTTGAAAAAAATGAACGAAGATTTTGCTATTAAACGGCAACAAGTTGAAGAACAATGTTCAGAACAATTAAAACATCTTGATGAAAATACTGATCAAACTAATCGTTTAAAACAAGATTTAGAAGAAGGTAAATAGTTTCTTTTTTTGTCTTTGAAAATAATTATTTAAGAAATTATTGCTTCGATTTCTAATAATTTTATAAACGTACAGTATTGATATAAATACTGACAGTGAAAGACTAACATCAGATACATTTGAGCTAGAGACGTTAAAGTCCGAATCTGAAAATTTTGAACTCGATGGGCTCTCATTGACGCACTGATTACACTGGCATTCGTGTTCATTGAGACAGCAGCTGTATCAAAATATGTCCGTTTAATATCGATGTGTTTTACTTTGAATCAGTGTGCTCGTATATAGTCAGTCTTTATTAGTTACACTGAGTCAGTGATATCAGTAGTCAGTAAACTGAAACTGGAAATTCCTATACGGTTATGATTATTTGCAGAGGTTTTCTTCATGAAAAATTTGATTCTATGAATCATTCAAGTATTTTTCTATCAAACTTTTAGTTCGATTTCATAGTTCTTGGTTTTTTCATTATTCAGTCTACACTAAAACCTTTTTGTGATTATTCAAAAGATAAAATCCAATGGATAACAATCAATAGAATTTTTTTGTAAGTTGTTTTCTACTTGATAATATTATTGACAATGTCAAGTCTGTCTATGAAAATCTAAAGAAATGATCATTGAATCAAGAATTAAAATTAGAATGTTTGATAACTGAATACGAAATGGTTTCGGTCATGATTTACTCTCTTAACTCAAGCGAATAAGTAAATGTAATCAAAGATGCACTCTTTTTTTTTTTCTATGTGCACATTATTTATTTTTATTGAAAATGATCATATGTGAATTAAGCTTCAACGTATTTTAAACAAATGTAATCAAAGAAAATTATGAATTCTTGGATTAAAATAAGTTTTAGAACATGATAGACATTCCAGTCGATATCGACAATGAAACTAAATCTCAGTTTAGTTATTGCGAGAATTGTTTTTGATTGTTAAACATAATTATACTTCAGTCCGTATAGCTCTCATTAAGATATCGACCAGAACAGTTAAATCTCGAAGATTGTGAACTAGCTGAAATCAAGTTCACAAGTGTCATTTCTATTGATTTTTATTTCAATCGATTATAATGAAAAGCTTTATTTAATATGAAATCATATTTTTGATTGATTCATTATAAATAGGTCTATCTTGACTCGCAATCAACTTCAAGACACTTTCATCTCTCGAACTGAATAATCAAATATCTTTTTCTTTAAATTCTATTTGTAATACATAAATGGAATCAAAAATTCTTCGAAATTCGTACTGACAACTTTATATACATAAATATTGTAATTTGATTGTGTCTAATTACTTAAAAATGAATTCACTTTTTCAAATAATTCAATTTTATTTTATTTTTTCAGAATATGCTAAATTATTAGTCGAATATGAATCAATGAAACATGAAAATGAACTACTTAATGAACAATATTTAGCAGCTGAATTAGAAAATTTTGAAATAACATCATATTATGAGCAAATTCTTTCCGAAGAAAAAGCTAAAACAATTCAACTTGAAAATGAATATAGACAAAAATTAAAAACATTAAATTCTAATCATTCTTCTCCACCTTCATCTCCTCGTCTTATTAGTAGTACTTCATTGAAATCTCCATCACAATCAATTATACCGAAAGATAATTGAACTTTAATTATTGTTATTTTTTTTTCGTTCTGTTCAACAGATATGAAATTTTACGTTTTTTTTTTTTTTTTTTTTGTTTTGCTTTCAGCCGATCACACTGAAACAAAAAATTTAATAAATAATTTGTTTCTCATGATGAATATTAAAATTAAACGAAAATTTTGTAATAATGTTCTTTCAGATTTAATAAGAAATCTAACGATGACAGATGATATTCATCGACGAGTATTTATTAAAAATATTCCATATGAAATAAATGATGATGCTTTGTCAGAATGGTGTTCTTCATTTGGTCCAATAACTAACTGTGCTTTAAAGCGAGATAGATTTGGAAATTCACGTGGTTTTGCTTTTGTTACATTTGCAACCATCGATGGTCACGATAATATATGTAAGAATAACTGTTTGTATGTATTTTCAAAGATTAATTTTTTTGTAGAATTTCAATTAGAATATTCAAAATATATACGAAAAAAACCTTGTTGTTTATTTAAATAATTAATAAACTAATTTTCTTCGATCGTTTTACAGATTAGAGATCTCCTTGATTGTTTCAGTCTCATTATAATCATAATCGAAATGAATAGTCTCCTTTTTGTATCAGAACCAGCACTAACGTTTTCTTTTTGGGTTAATTCTCTAGAAAATTTTGTAAGAGTTTTGAGCCGTATCTATATCTTGAAAAACTATCGTTTATCTGCAGCTGAGTTATCAATTGTCGCCCCCCCCCCCGCCCATCCTGATGGTCTCTGAACACTTCTGTATCAAATTAGCATCATATACACAAAATTGACGTGTATTCTAATAAGTGTGAATGTCATAAAAGAAAATATTTTATAGATTTCGAAAACGAAATCGAAATGAAAGTCTATAAAAAAAATTTAATATCAAATCAGAACTCAACAATACAATTTACGAGAGAAGTCCTTCAAATGTTTAATCGCTTTTGATTTGAGACTACGTGCATAATGAAGATATAAATGAGCTATAAATACTCTCAAACAAGTTCATGCCCTTAGATTATTGCTACGGAGATAATACATTTGTATAATATTGTTCAAATAAATATTTTGATCTCCCTCAGGAACAACAGAAAAGCTGATTTTTGAATTTCGATGTGAAACTTTGCATAGAGACACATCTTAATGCGAGTAGTTTATTATGAAAGTTTCAAATCTTTCGATTTACTTCTTTCCTGACAGAAGAACATCAAATCTGTTGCTTTATATGAGTGATGTAAAACACATGCTATTACTATAACTATATTTTAGGATGGCAACAACAAAAAGACGAGAAAATTTCACAATAAACTATTTTAATTAAGATCTGTTTCTATGTATAGCTTCAAGTCGAAATTCAAAAATCAGTTTTTCTGTCTACTAAAAACAAATCATAAAAGTGTACTACCTCCGTAGCAATAAGCTAAGAGTAAGTATTATTTTCAGAATATTCATAATTTATTTAACAGTTGGACGGATTTTATTCGTTAGTCTAAAGTTTTTCTATAGTGACAGCTATAAAAAGAACATATTTTGTACAGGAACAAGTCGTATTGGATTGATTCAATAATGAACATTAGCGGTCAAATAAAGCTCAACGTATTTTAAAATTAAAATCATTCAATTCATTTTTTCTTGTAGTATCTCAAACACCTCATTATTGTCAAGGTCGTCATTTGATTGTCAAAACAGCATGTGATCATATAAATTCAAATGATTATCAATCAAATTCGTCTCCAGAAACACAATTTCAAATAACATCTTCTTTATCTATGAATGATAATTCCAATTCAATATCAATGGATAATAGTTTTACTTGTGATAATACGTATCATAATCGTTTAGCATCATTACGTGATGAACTTGAAGCTAATCTTGAATGTATGCAAATAGCACATGAACATGAAATAAAAATCGTACAAGAAAAACTTACACGTGAAAAAAAACTTCTAAAAGAAGCTGAAGAATTATATAAAGAAGCTGAAGAAGATTGGCGTAAAGTTAATGATGAAAATGCTCGATTACGTACAAGTTTAATTAAAAATGTTATGCAAACATTTAATATGCGAAAAGATTTAGCACGTCGAACAAAAGATGAATTAAAAAAATGTACACAAATTGAAAAACAATGTATAGATATTAAATCAAACCGAATGATATCAAATTTTAATGAAAAATTGCAAAGTCAAACATATAATGATTAATAAAACAAAATAATAAAATTTTTTTGGGTGATATTAAAATATCGAGATCAAATGACAAAATAAAGCTATATTTGATGAACTTTTGTTTTCTTTTTTGTTTTTAACGTTGTTCTTTTTGAAAAATTATTTCATTTTTCTGTAGTGACGAAATGTTCTCATCTGTTTGTTTACATGTTAATGTTTTGTCTACAAATTTTTATAAAGAAAAAAAAGAACAAGGTGCCGGTGATAATTACCGCCATATTTTGTATCTTATCTAAAATTCAGAAATTCTTCTTTAATCATGTTAGTACATTATGCTTGATATAAAATGGTGAAAAAAAGTATAATAGCAACGTGTTTTTTTTTTTGTACATAACGCTAAGCAATTGGCTGAAATCCAGAGAGTTATTTTAATAGCAGATGAAGATTTCTTTTACCAAGATTTCATAGATGAACTATGATGATGAGCTTGCTAAAAACAGGATACAACAGTTATCAGGTTCCATAAAACTTTGTTGAAGTTATTTTCAACAGTATTATTTTAAAGACCATAAAATTCTGGAGAAAACGAGAGCTCGCCACATTTTCTACGAACTGCTCTTAAAAAGTTGAAAAAAGTGTTACAAAAACAGTAAAAACACCAAACTTATTAAACACTCGACTAGAACACGCTTTTTCCCGTTTTTGTGATGCTTTTAACTTTCTGAGGGAATATCGTAGAAGATGCCGCGACTCCACAGTCTGTTGAAAAAGGTTCTCTTTAAAATGACATTATTAAAAAATAGTTTCAACAAACTTTTCCAAGCCCTGAAAACTACCTTGTCTGATATTTTAAGCAACCCTATCAAAGTTCATCTACAAAACCTTGATAAAAAAAATTTTTATTCGCTACCAAGAGAGCATCTACGAGACCATTACCTAAGGAAAGTGCCGAAAAATTTTAATTTTCGAAATGAGTTTGCTACTTTAAAAGAGCATAAAAAGTTATTCATAAGAAAACAGCTCCAACTGTTCGATCGCTTTTCAATTGAATATATACTCAAACGACAGACCTCAGTGAGTTATTAAACACTCCACCAAGGTTTAGTGTTCCAGACTTTTGACCAGAGATATACCATTATTACTATCACTCATTTTCCTATAATACTGCACTAATATATATTCGACATCTTGATTAAATATAGTCCCATTCGACTCGAATTTATATCAATACTAAGGCGCTCAGTACTGATTCAGATCTCAGAGATTGAAGATAAATCATTGTTTGTTATCGAATACCGGATGTTCCAAAAGTCTGGCAACATTTTGTATTTTGCATTTATCTCGACTTGAGAAAATGATAAAATCTTGATTTTTTTCTTAAAAGATGCGCCGTGAAAAGCTCTACAAAGTTCGTGTAAACAAATCCCTCTTGACTTGCTCTGTTGGTTTTTCCATACTCATAACGTACTACCTAAATAATAGAGCTATTTTTCAGCATAATAAAAATGTTTGCAAGACATCTTTGTTTTGCATATATCTCGCCTTGAGAAAATGATTACATCTTGATTTTTTTTCAAAGATGCGCTGTTAAAAGCTCTACACAATCTGTATGAACAAATTCCTATTGCAAAACGAAAAAGGTCTTTCAAACATTTTTCCAATGCTCAATACGGTGGGACATAGCGCCACCATGTAGGTTGTTCGTATTAAGCATCGGAAAACCATCAGAACCAGTTAATGGAGATTTCTTTATACAGTTTTTGTAGAGCTTTTCACGGTGCATCTTTTAAGAAAAAAATCAAGATTTTATCATTTTCTCAAGTCGAGATAAATGCAAAATACAAAATGTTGCAAAACTTTTGGAACACCCGGTATATGAGTTTGTTTAACATACTGATTGATTATTAAAAAGCAGCATGTAGTGTTCCTGCTCAAAGATGGAAGTATTGATTCATCTGATATTTTCAACACAGATATCATTTCATCGTGAGCATGCATATGAAAATGTCAACTTATTTGTCAGCACTTTAGTTAATAAGAGTGTGAAGAATAAATTCGCGTGCTTCTCATCATGCAATCGATTGTCAGTAACATGTTTATACATGAGAACGAAATCAGCAAAGCAAAGACAATGTAGTGAATCATTTAATCAATGAAAGTGATAGTTGTTGAAAAAATGTTTAATTCATAATATGTAGCCACAATAATTGTATCGAATGAACGAACATGAAGAACAATAATGCATATGATATTAGTCATAGTAATAGAAATTATACGTCGTGATTAAATAATATATATATATAATCAGCACGATCATATATTCCTCTAAACACTCTTTCTATCACTTTACGTACCACCATCCTTCTAATTACGTCTGGACAGAATTATCTTTCTTTACCAATTTCGACCATCAACGGTTCACTGCAAATAACGCATTCAAACGAGAAAGTAAACAATTTTATTTCGGTCAATGAAATATATACATGCAAGATATTGACATCTTTCGAAAGCTAAGTTTAGTATGTTAGTAAGGTATGTTCTATAGTGAACAGTAGACAAAATAATTCTTCAAGTTTTTATTCACTAAAGTGCTGACAAATAAGTTGACATTTTCATATGCATGCTCACGATGAAATGATATCTGTGTTGAAAATATCACATGAATCAATACTTCCATCTTTGAGCAAAAGCACTACATGCTGCTTTTTAATAATCAATCAGTATGTTAAACAAACTCGTATATTCGATAACAAACAATGATTTATCTTCAATCTCTAAGATCTGAATCAGTACTGAGCGCCTTAGTATTGATATAAATTCGAGCCGAATGGGACTATATTTAATCAAGATGTCGAATATATATTAGTGCAGTATTATAGGAAAATGAGTGATAGTAATAATGGTATATCTCTGGTCAGAAGTCTGGAATGCTAAACCTTAGTGGAGTGTTTAATAACTCACTGAGATCTGTCGTTTGAGTATATATTCAATTGAAAAGCGATCGAACAGTTGGAGATGTTTCCTTATGAATAACTTTTTATGCTCTTTTAAAGTAGCAAACACATTTCGAAAATTAGAATTTTTCGGCACTTTTCTTGGGTGATTATTTCATGGACTCTCTCTTAAAATCACTATCTGGATATTCACTAGGTGTTTAATATCATGAAAATAAAATAAAAAAGCATGTTTTAGTTATACTTTTTTTCACCACTTTTTCTAAGACAAACTAAAAATAATAGCAGAGATACTTCAAAACCGCATAGAAAACTTGAGCAAAGTTTGTCTTTGTAAGTGCTGATAGTAAAAATAGTATCCTAAATTGTAGCAATAATATTTTTATATATTTTAAATAACTTTCGACAGAATCAAGATGGAAAGACGCGACTTTGATCCTTAGAAAGATGAAATGAAAATGAGTCGAATCGCACATTGCAGTTTTTGTTTGAAAACTTTTAATAAACTTTTTTTGAAAATAAATCTACTCTATGAGGTATTTACAAGGAATTTTCAATTATTAGATGTCTATTCGAATTGTCAATTGAAGATCAACAGAAGAGTATAATGCTCACATATTTAGATTTCATAACTTAAGGTTATATAGGTGTTCTTCTCGGAATTCGAAGTCGCTTTTTCTAATAATTTCTCTTTTCATAAATTACATTGTTGCCTTTTCTTTTTGACGAAGAAAAAAAAGTTTTCCCGGTATTGTTTTAGAAAATTGATTAAAAACCATACAGGAAGCATATGAAAGAAACCATTAATATATGATTCGATGCGTCTTCATCTCCTGTTTCTAATAATAAAATTCACGGCTCTGTATCACAGGTTATTCAAAATACATAATAATATTATCGTCACAATTTAGAGCACTATTTTTACAATCAACACACACAGAGAAAGTTTCTTCAACTTCTGTATAGGATATTGAAGTACCTCGGCACTACATTGAGTATGATCTAAGTATGTTATGAAGTCAAATGAACCTATTTTATCGATGCAAATAATTTTTGATAAAACTTAGAATTGTTCATGCATTAACGAATTAATTATTAATTCATTTTCTTTTCTCTTGAGAAGTTCATCGTTCATTTTAAAATACCTGTCAAAAAGGTAGTGTTAATAAGAACGAAGAAAAAAAAAGTATATTGAACATTAAGAGAAAATCATCAAAAACAATAAAAAATTGTCGATAAAAAAAGAAAACATCTCGAAGTTTCTTAAAGCAGGTAGAAATCAATTGTATAATTTTCAATCAAGGAAGAAAAAAAACAAACGTCATTTATAATAGAGAAATATCACCATTATTTCTAGAGAAAATCTTTTGTTTTTAATAACGATATCCAGCTGTGTATTGCCATTATTATGAATGCACATTGATAAATCTGGTTGATAAATAAGTAGCTCTTCATAATAATATCTCTGCAAATACAGAGCAATGTTGTAATGAGTATCAGTCGAAGACTTTATTATCTCTTGAGATTTAAATAAGACAATTATTTGATATAGCATTCTTATTAGTAACAGATCAGAACAGCTGGATATTGGTATTAAACAAAGATTAATACTTGATTTCTTAGTAGAAAAATATTTTCTGATCAATCCATCAAGTTATATTCGAATTAATTATTGATTTGGTATAGAAAAGTTATTGTTTTTTGTTATTGTAAGATTATTGCTCTTATTAATGATGTATGTATTCTTTTTTTTCTTTCTTAGAGGAGATCTATGACAATTATGCCATTTATTTCTCAGTTTTATTTGCTACTTAGAAACAAATAATCTATGGACTACTTATATAGGAAAAATTTAATTTGGAAAAGTGCTACTTTTAACATGTGATATTTTTTTGTCTCTTTTTATTTATAGAAAAAAATTTATATATCTTACATTTTTTTCCACTACATAACTATCAACATAGGCTAATGTCAATTAGAAGAAATTTGCTTGCTTATATGAAAAAGTAAGCTTTTACGATTCACTGATGAAAAAAAAAAAAAAAAGGTAAGTTATAAAAGAAATGTTTTTAATAAAAAAAAACTATATTTCACGTTTGGCCTTTTTAAAATAACTTCAACGCACAATTTTAATCATACAATATCAAAAATATTCAATGTATATACATAACATCTTTTAAAAAGACTACTCAAAGCATCTTTAGAATATATTTTAAGATGGTTTTAATTGTCAGTTTTTTTGTTGCTTTAAGAAACTACTTTCATAAGTATACTTATCTTTTACAAGTACTACTTCGTTGTCATTATTATAAAATATATTTACGTTATTTTTAATATAAAGAAAACAAAAACACATCTCTGTGCGTATCTATTTAATGGTTTATATCATGTGTTGTCGCGTTTTTTTGTAAAGAAAGCTTCTTTTTTTTTCACAGATGTACCCAGCAGAAATAAATTTAGCATTTAATATCAAATAGCTGAAATCATTTTCATCATATATTCTATAGGTCAAAGATAAAATTTACTTATTGACATATGCATATCATTTTAGTCGCTAAGAAAATCTTATTTGTTATTTAATGTAACATAAAATAATGACAAAGAAAAAGAGAAAAACAAGCCTGATGTACAGTATATGTTCGTTTTACTTAACAATAGAACATATACGAATAAGAACTCATAAATCGAATGTGATTATGTGTTTTTCAAGGACTTCTAGCCATAAAAAAACTTAGTTAAAAACAAAACCTTTGAAGTTGTTTTCCATGTGTTGATCATCTTCGCCAGGAAGACCCTCAAAGTAACAAATCATATCTTTTTATTTATCATCTTTATTCCATTAGTACTTTAATAGCGTCTGCTTTTTTTCATAAGAGACCTTTTTCGATAAAGTAAATAAATACACTAATATAATTTCTTGATTATGACTTCATATAAAAGGAGAGCAATCGAGTCCACGATGACTTTAATATGAAGAGAAAAAACAACTCGATAAATTTTTTACAGTTAATCTATAGAAAAAAACCTAAATAAAAATGAAAACATTACTCAACTGCATAATCTCGAGAGAATTTAATGAAACTAACGTGATCTGAAACCATAACGACAATGGCTCTGTTTTAATTTTCTATTTTACAAAACAATTATCAATACATTTCTTTGCATGCATACAAACATGCGTTCTCCAGAGTCCGACAACGTGAAAAAACGAAACGAAGAGAAAAAGAGAGAGAGAGAGACAGAGAGAGAGAGAAAGCGAGAAACATGGAAAGAGAAGAAGTGAGGAAGAAAGGAACTAGAACAAGACGCGATCAACAGGAATGCTCATACGTCCGCTCGATCAACTAATTATTCTTACAATCACTTAGCAGTCATTTGACTCGTGATTTTTTTCCTTGATTTTTTTATTTCTTTTATGTCTTAGACAAAAACAGTCAATGTTCTTTTCTTACATATATTTACTTTTAATTTCGCTAAATCTATTCTTATAAAAGACAACTATTCACTACGGTAAGAAAAAGATTTGCTTTATTTTTTTCTCTTCTTTTATCTTTATATTATTCAACCAGAAAAAAAGTTCGATTTAGTGATTCTGAATATTAGAATAGAGAATATATGACAATAAAGACAAAGCCTTTTATCATGTCAAAAAACTTATTTATCAATATTTGCCAATTATTGATTATGCATTCGTGAACAAAACAATAAATATATTTAAAGCTTAGATAATATGAAAGTTTATAATTCATAACATTAACTCTTGTTTTTTTTTGCTATTCTTTTCCATTAAGTTTATGTCAATGAGATGCACACATTTATTAGTCTATTTTGGTATCATAATTAATCATCAACAGTATATTAACAAAAAAAAATGAATCACACTATCGACAAGAGGTCAATCAATATTTTTTTTATTCAAAATAGAAAAAACTGCTAGAGAAGATTTATATCAACTTGGTAGGTCATGTCATGCTAATAGTTTGTAATATTACCTAGTGCAAATATATAGTGTCTACTTTTCATAATGACGCTGAATAATTGGCTTGTCTTGATGCTTATGTGATAAGACACTATTTCACACTCGATTGAGAACATTTTCTAGGCACGCCTAATCGTTGAAACAACCTCATTCAAGTAGTATGATAGTGAATATAGTATCTGAGACAATATAAAGCAGATAACACTAGTCTGCAATACCGACTTCACTTTGTCGTTCTTATAAGAACGACGAAGTGAAGTCGGTATTGTAGACTAGTGATTGTCTCCGTTACATTGTTGTAGGAACTATCCGTTGTTAAACCACTTCAATGAGATCATTTCAATGATTAAACGTGCCTAGAGATATTCTCAATTGTACATGAAGTGAAATTGCATCGAATCAATCAAGAAAAATCAATTTTTGCGCCTCATTATTCGAAAGAATCAGTCTTCATATTAGCTTAATCTATTTTCCGCCTAGTTCTTCGAAATAAAAGAACTATTACCATTGGCATAAACAATGGTATATTACGGCAATTGAAGATTATTCTTATTATTATAATGAAGTACTTTTCTTGAACAATAGGCTTAAAATTATGCATGATAGTAAAGAAAAGAAAAAAGAAAATATTTTCACTTGAAACTGTATGGTGTATCAGAATTAGTAATTGTATTTCTTAAAGAATCTAAGTGAGTTCTAATTCTAAACTAGAAACTCAATATGAAAAAAAAAAAAAATTTATTTTCGAATATTAGTACTAACTGATGCGTATGATTGAAAATTATATTTTTATTTAATATATATCCAATTATTTATTGTCTTGAGAAATAGATATTGTAAATGAACATGAATATAAAATTTTCTTTTCTGAATAATATATTTATTCATGTTTACTGAATGATCTGATTATTATTTAGAATTAGATCTCGTTGAAAAAAAACAGATCCTCATTGACAAGAAAATAGTTTTTACGTGATTATCTAATATATACATTTGATCAGTTAGTTAACGTATTTGATTATGTCGACCTAGACATATAAAATATACAATCATTTATTAACTTTCATGATAGAAATATTTTCTTGATTTCTTCTAATTTCATTAGTCAATAATATAGTCACTTGACTTAACGACAATGAATAGCAGAAAAATAAGGGAGAAAAAGAGTGAAGAACATTTTGTCACTGACGATCAATGAGAAATGAGTATATATAGAAAAAAATGTACTATTCTTTTTCCCAATAGATATGCGATTTTTGTGAAATGCAATACAATGACAAATATGATCAAAACTATTCATAGAATTTGCCAGTGTATTGAATACCTAGTTAGTGTTACCAAAAAAAGGCAAACAACAAAGAATCGACTGAAAAGGTTGCCAATTAACAGAACCATTTCATGTATTTGTCGCATGAATTCTTTTCTTTTTTTCTTTACTCGCTATCGTAAATCGACAACTAACGGCAAGAATAATATGAAAGTGTGAAACAATAAAAGTGTGTATGCGTGATGTCACAAAGGAAAATGCCTAGTTTTTATGTGGGTGTTTTGAAAATACGCATGCTTTAATCATATTAGAAAATATTAGCACAACTACGGTAGGGAATAAAAATCTATCGATTAATATTTCTTTTAAGTACAACACACGAAGTCGGTAGACGCGTACGTATGTGTTAATATTTTTATTAAGTGTTCTTCTAGTTAATGTGTTTTTATTGTCACAAATCATATTCTAATAAATATTCTACAGATAGTTTTACAAGATTTTCTGTGTAAAGCAGTATTAAAGTAATTATAGATTTTGTCAGGAAAGTTTTCTTTTATTGTTACTGTCAAAAAGAATTCTTCATATATGTACATTCAAAGATGATCTATCTAGCACAGATGCCTTTTTTGTTATTGTAGTACTTGAATAATATTTATCATGAGAAAAGTTATCTTTTTCTTTCTACTATTAATTATGTATTTGTTCTAAAATAGAAGAAGAAAAGAAAAAGAAAACTTAATCGCGAATGATAGTTAATATTTATTTCCCAATTGATTCCATAACACTCGATTACAATGTCTTAATATTAAGCGAAAAAAGAAAATATCTATCAGCTAATTTGTTAACTTTTAAGCGTAATATATATATATATATCTGAATATATTATTTATAAAAGTGTGTCAACGTGGTATTACATTTAAGATAAGTTATGTGAAAAAAAGGAGCATATTATCCTGTCTGAGGCAACGCCTCTGTAAACATATATATGTTCGGATAATAGAAATAAGGAATAAATTAGAGAGCTGTCAATTGTTTTGAAGATATGGAACATTGCATAAACATCTAAGGTTTGTCTGTAATTATTATTGGAAAGATATGTTTTCACAAAAAAATAGCATAAACCAGAAAATTGTTATTATTTTTCTCAAAGTTACTTTGGTACACAGTAATGTTAGAAGCTTTCTGTTCTTCATATAAAAAAAAAAAAAGAAAAGATCAACTATATGTGTCATCTGAATTATATATGTATACATTAAGCTTTGTTATTATCTGAATATAATAATAAATAATTGGTAAAACACATTCTCCTTCGGTGTATTATATTTTAGACCATCGTCTTTCAATTCTTCTGCTTATTATTATTATTATTATCTAATATTATTATTTGAATAAAAAATGTCGACTGGTAGACCATCAGTTACAGCATTACATTGTGTATCATTTCGAGAATATTTTTCTTTTACTAAAATAAAATCAGTAGTTCATGGTTTTGTTTATGAATATGAAACACCAAAAATTGTAACGATTCATTCAGTTTCAAGTAAGTGGAATTGATTTTACATTATCATGGGATTAAATTAGATAAAATCAAAAATGGTAATCTAAATCTCTTAGGAGGCATTTGCTTTGTTTCTATTTCATTTTTTTCATTTCTTTTTTGTTTTGTGATACCTATTAAGGTATCTTAAGAGTATAAAAATGTCATATTTTCTTTCAATTTTTTGTTATTTTGTTTAAATAGGTCGTTGTTTAAAAAAAAATGCTTCCTTAACTAATAATTTTCAATCAACAACAGGTCTATGTGAACTTGAAGGTTGGTGTCCAGTTGAAAATGATTTAAATATTCCAAATCCAATACGTGATGCATTAAATTTTACAATATTTGTTAAAAATTTTATTGAATTTCCACTTTTTAAAGTTATTAGAAAAAATATTCTAGGTGATAAAAATTATTTAAAAACATGTAATTATGAGCCTATTGCAAATAAATTATGTCCAATATTTCGTGTTGGAACTTTACTTGATATTGTTGAACCAAATTCATATGAACAAACACAAATGTTAAAATTAGGTGGTGTTATACGTGTTAAAATACATTGGGATTGTAATTTAGATAAACCATTAGATCTTTGTAAACCTGAATATTCATTTCGACGTTTGGATGATTCATATAGAGAAGATTCATTTTCACATGGATTTAATTTTCGGTTGGAATAAATTTATTAATAAAATTACTTTCTTATTTTAGAATAATATGTATTTTTTTTTTTTTTTCATTAGATTTGCATCACATTGGAAATATCAAAATCGATCTTATCGAACATTAACTAAAGCATATGGTCTTCGTTTTATTATTTCTGTAAGTAAATCAACATATGAGAAGAATGTAATAATGGTCGTCAAATAATTTTCTGTTAGTGTTTTGTTCGATTTTCCGTCAATAATTGCTTGATTCTGGCAATAGAAATTTCCGTCAAGAAAAGGTTAAAAATGCCAGAGGCAGTTTTGAATGAGAATAATAAGTTTAAACTGTGAGGATAGTTTGAAATTTCATAATAGTTACAATGATTGGTAGATTACTTCTTAAATAAAGAAATTCTCAACGGAGATTCTTCTACTTCGAATACATTCTTACTGTTATCTAAAACATCATACCAATATCATAGGAATAAACACGTAGAAATGTTGTTTACTGTACGTGTAAGATCGATTTTTTTCTTCCGATATTGATCCTCGTTGGAGATACATTTTGATTAATGTTAACATCAAGTAAAAATGTTTTACAATATTTCTCTTGTTATCACATATAACAGGTTTTTAGCTTGTTTTTTTCAATATATGGTACATATAACATTAAAATCTTATTGAAAAACAAAAACTTGAAAGAAAAAAGAACATGAAATCTTAATTATTATAGGTCAGTGGTATTGCTGGTCGTTTTGATATAATATTATTAACATTAAATATTGGTTCATTAATTGGTATTCTTGGTTTAGCAACATTTATATGTGATATTGTTGCATTATATGTTCATCGTCAATCTGACGTATATCGTCAACAAAAATTTCAAGAAGTTAATTTAAATTCAATACGATCAGATAGTTTAAAACATATTTCAACAAATACAACAAACAGTGAATCAAAAAGAAAACATTCTAATCATATTGAGCAAAATATATCAAATAGTCATATTATTGATCATAATGAAGTATTGGCAAATGTTGAATGTTTAGATGAAACAGAATTTCAGCAAGAAAATATTAAAAATAATGATTTATATGATAAATTATCATCATCATCAAAAGATACAAATCAAGCAACAACACCAATTTTTATTTATGGAAATTTTCATCAACAAAAATTAGGTTTAAATTCTTTGCATACAAGTCCATCAGTAAAACAAAGACGTTCAACAACAACAACAACAAATAAATCTCGACCATCACAATTAGCATATTTATCAAGTGAAGAAAATCAATTATATGATAAAGCAAATATATCTTTTGTTGATGCTGATTCTACAGAATTAATTGAACCAAATGAAAAGACTGATGAAAATAAACATTTAAATGATAGTTCGGCATTTAATCATTCACAATCTGCTGTACAGTCGCCAATAACTGAAACATTATTATGAATATTTATACACATATATATTTATATATATGTTTTATGTGTAAAGTAAAATATCTCAAAAAAAGTTCTTTTTCACAAGAAAATTTTTGTGATTAAGATTACAGTTGAAAAGAAAACAAAGACAAAGAACAGTAATATATATGGTAGAAAAAAACAATTACGTTCAAAAATAATTACTTTTTTAAATTTAAATATAATGTGTTTGTCGAATAAAATTTTATAGAATACAAAATATTCGTTTTTATGTTATGTATTTATTTATTATAATAAGAAAACAAAAGAAAATTGTATTGTTGTAGTTAGAATTTACGACCTCGAATACATTCAGAGATTGATATGACATCATAAAGATTATGTTTTCAAATGTTTCTTTTTTTTTTTCTACTAAATAAAGATATCTTAATGAAAAATATACCAATAACGGTATTATTATATATTGTTACAAATGATGTGCGAATACAAATTAATTATACGATAATAAATCAATTTTATGCAGCTGCTAACCTTGAAATTGACTGTTTTTCTTATTGCATGATTATGTTATTCTCCTGTGATTTAGATTAATGATTTCGAAAACAAGCAAAATTCCAAGAATAGATTGCTTCTATGATTATTTACAAACAATGTTTTCGAGTAAAATTCCGATTATATCTAGTCTAGGTTACAATACCCTTGTAATCCATATTTATTATAATATCCTATAAAATAATCCTATTCACAATTGACATTGTTCAAATATGAGTTTTGTTTCATATTATATAAAACTTAAGAAAAGAAAAAGTAACAATTTAAATTTAAATAAATTTCTTTCATTCAATACAATTCATAAAAAAAAAAGTTTTCAAATTAAATGCTAATCTATTAGTGTCAATAAAAAAATACATATAATGGATATGTCAGAAGAAATGTCTTACTTAGTATTCTCTCAATATCATCATGTCTCATCCTTTTTTTCTTATAAGATTCATGATTCAATTTTCTACAAGAACATCATAGACGTGTCATAAAAATCAAGACTATTTGGAAATTCAATGCGTCCACAAATGAGCATTCTTTTCGGCTGAAATTTTCAGATTATCTAAAGAGCCATTAGATCTATCTATAAGTTGAATTTCAGATCGACATTCCATTACTTGATGTTCAAGTAAAATGATCATACCTCGATTCCAGAAATAATCAATATGATGCCTTCTAGAATTTTCCGAGACCTTCTGGTTGGTCTGATATGAATTCAAACAGTAGATTACAGCCGAAGTAGTTCTCTCGTCAATTTTAATGTACTAATTATACTCCTAAATGTATTCTGTCATACTCTTATATTTATGCAAAGATAGAAAAAAAAATTCTGAATTGTTCTGAAAAAACAGCTTTTCAAAAATTAGTCATATTAGAACCTTACGATATTATTTATGTAATATTTCTGTGAAAAATTTTTGTAGAAAATAAAATCATGAAATTTTAAAAAAGGAGATTAAAGTATGTCGACATTGATAAAATACTTACAGAAATATTTGTTCTGACAGATTCGTTATATAAACTATTTTCTTTTAACTGTTACTGTTGGATAAGGAATACCAAGACGATCACTTAACATTTTTACAGTTTTTTCATATTCTCGATTAAGGTTATTTGCTTGTTGTAAAGCAAATTTTATATCTTCAATTTCGTCAAAAAAATTTTCATCAAGTGCACCTAATTCTTTCTTCATGCGTTCATAACGTTCTTCAAATTTTTCCATACGTTTTTGTGCACACATAGCACGTTTTTCTGCTTGTTCTTTTTCTTTTTCACATTGTATTAAACGTCGTTCATAATCATTAATAAGTTTTGATGAAGATGCTTCTTGTCGATTATGTATATTTTCATTTTCATATTGTTTTAATAAGTCATTTTGAGCTTTTAAAAGACGATGCAAACGTAGTTGTTCATCCGAAGGTAATCTTACTGTTGAGTTTGGACGACGAGGAACAGCAATATCTGTTTGACATGATATTGAACATGAATGAATATGATCAAGATTTCTTTCTGCAATTACTCTTTCAAGATGGGCTATATGTCTTTTAAGATCGGTTATTTTTGTTTTTAATCGTTCATTTTCATAATTTAAAAAAGCACACATATGAATTGGTGGCATCTCCATATTGAATGATATTCATAATATCTTGAAGAACAAAAAAAAACAAAAATCATTTTCAATTAAGGATACTGTTTTGGATTCTTGAAGACGATACAACCGATTAAACTAAATTTTTAACCAAAAAATAAGAAGATATGTGCTCGAGAAAAAAATTTCAAACTAGATTTTTATAGTGTCAATCTCGAAAATCCTAGTTTTCCAAAAAGTCGCAACCTGATTGCTTACAACTTCCATCAAATTCTATTCGATTGAGTATCTCAGAGATAATTTTAAACTTTTCTAAAAATTTCACTTTTTTATGAGAGAGATGCGTAAATGTTTGATATCAAAACCGAGATCTTAACTTTCAGAATATAATAAATCCAAGTAGGAAAGTCAAAAACGAAAATGACCAATTTCACCTCTGCAGAATGCTTCCGAGTATCAATGGTAAAGATTTCAGTCCGATTAAACAAGATTAGAAGGGAATCATAAGCAACTAGGATGCTACCCTATCGAAAACCAAGACTTTCTGGTGAAGATTCACTTGAAAGTTTTTTTTCGCCGAACACATGTTTCCTTATTTTTGGTGCAACTTGATCGATTGTACCATCTTTGAGAATTAGAAACGGTCACAAAAAAAACGGGACACAGTACTTTTCAATGCTTTTAAAAATACAATTAACATGAGCTTTTTTTTTTTTTATTTTCAAGAAAAACTATGTCTACAATTAATTTTTAAAACAGACATTTTTATATCTGAACTTGAAAATAGAAGAAAAATGATTATCACTGTAATACAATAATTTAATTTGAAGGATATTTCATTTGAAAAATTTGTTCAATTCGTTTTGTATTTGTTATGTCAATTGGTAATTTACTATGAAATCGTTCATTTATTGTTTTTATTAGATTGTTTGATGAAGGATTTGTTGCCTGTTGAAAATAAAAAACAAAACAAAAATGAACGAATAATAAGAAGAAAAAGAAAAAAAGGATTTACTGATGTTGTTAATGCTTGTGTAACTTGTTTAATTGATACTTCCATTTCATGATTTGATGGAAAAAAATTTGGTAATGTTTTTTTACGAACAGATAAATCAGTTTGTTTCATTTGTGTATTGGTATCATCAACAATAGATATATCAGAAGAAAATGATTGTTGGTCTGGTGATTGACAATCAGATGAATTTTTTAATTCATGTGAAGGTTTCTTATATTGGTTTTGATTATTCTTCGTCGTTGTTACATCAGGAGAATATACAGCATGACGTGATAATTCAGTATGAGCATTGTTTGTTAAAGAACCTAAAATGAAGATTTGAACAGACAAAAAAAAAACGAAACATTGAAACTTGAATTTATACCATTGAGTCGTTCGGAATTCATTTGTTGACAATCAAAATTGAATGCAGATAAATTATTTAATGGACGAATATGAACAATATCAATATCGTCTTGTTGTTCTTGATGGTTTGAATTTTCTTCGATATGTAATGGTGATGAGACAAATGTTGGTATTATTGAACGATGATGAATTGGTGGAAGACCAATAGGTAGAAAACTTTGATCATGTTCATCATCTTCTTCGTCAGACCAAATTATCGAATCATTCGGATGTTGTTGCTTGAATGGATTACTAGTTATTGTAAAATAAAAATAACAAATTTAATTTGAAAACTACTTATTAGATTTGTATTTAGTGAAAAACCTATTGGTGTATGATTTGCTTAGAAGTATGAGCGTACTAGTGACGAATATTTCTAAGCTTTTTGCGAAATATTTATTACTGAAATCTATTCCGCTTGAAATGATCGTCGCATTTTCGTAGAGAAGTAAGTTTTTGAAGGTCAGAGTGAGACCGGAAACACTCACACACAAAGGAAGCAACACTTAGTAGACTTTCATGCACTTATCTATAACTTAGCACAGTTTGTATACTTACTAAACTAAAATATATCCTGGCAAATATAAGAATTATTAACTAAACAAGTAGAGAAAAAGAAATAAATATGACATGTAGGTAAAAAATTAAAAGCTATTGAGGACAAAATGCGAGTTATAGAGATTCCCGGGGCAGTTAGAAAGAAATTGTCTTCTTCAATGCCCACCACTGACTTATCGAATATCCACTCCATCTCCTCCCATATCGTCAAAAAAAATGTGTCGAGAGATGATTTCTTTAGTCAATTTTTTAAGTACCCAATATAAACCAATACAGTTGTAAATGATCGTATTTCGATAGATACAACGGCTTACATCACTCAGTATAGCAATTGTATATTTTTGTATTGCGTACAAAAAGACGATGATTTACGAAAACAAAAATGTTCATTTATTGTCCCCGTACACGGAGGGCGTATACAAACTTAATATTGATTTATATTTCTACATATAAGGTTCTTTTGCTCAGTATATGGTCATGGCAATATATGAACATAAAACTAAGCTATATGAGGGGCTGGATCCTCTCCAGTTTCTGTCTGATTATGACAATAACAGCACTGTTGGTTACGAGCGTATATAGAATTCGTATTCTTTGTCTTGAACATTCTTCACAATCATTATCTTATTCCTATGACATCCAATAAATTAAATAATATCTATATAGATTTAATTGTATTTTTGAAGAAAACGACAGCATCCTCAAAAGACGGAAGAAACGGTTTAAATCTCTTAGTAACCCATCACTGAGCAATGTGATATCACAACATGCAAATTTTCGGTGGGTTAGACAAGATTGTTCATGTCAGCATGACACATAACTATCTGTGTGTAAGACATATTGTCATGATAGTGAATTTTAAAAAACAAAAGTTACTCAGAAATGTCTAACACTTTCGTATAATATTCAGTTAATTCGATTGTTTAAATTTGTGTTGAAT